CGGTACTTCTGCTCTCCTACAGTATTTAGCTGTATAGGTGTCCTTCTAACCTGAAGATTCAAGGTTTAGATGAATACTAATATATGTCAATCTTTAACACCGTGATTTCTGAGTAAACAGAAGTAATTTCTTGGTCTTTCAAGCTTTAGAAATTATTGTTTGAGTGTAAATATCTCTAAATTATACAAAGCATCAATGTATGTGGCCTACTAAGAGGGAAAATAACCCATTAAAATTTACTTTGTCTGTATTAGCTTCTGTGGTATTGCAATATTTGAATGCAATCCAGTTTCTATAACCCAGTTTTAAAAATACTGGGGAGAATAGACTACTATCGGGAAAACACATACATAAGAAAAAAATTAGAGCAAACTGAAACTGCTGTAGAATCAGCAACAGTTTGCTGTTGAAGTCTGTAGAACAAGGAGAGGAGACGAGGCAGATGTACCTGCATTTGTACTCAAGCACTTTTCCCCAAAGTTTGAGGGGAGACGAGCAGGTGATTGTGGCCATGTGCACTGCAGCTGCTTATAGTACCCACGCGGGAAGGGACCAAGTGACCTAAAACCCGAAACCAGGAGCGAGGGATGGAAATGAAGTACTTAGAGAAGTAAATGTTAAGTGCTTAAGGCAAATACGTGAGAATGAGCCCGATTGCTGTGGTTCTCCTGGGGAGGGTCTGAATGTCACATTTCCTACGTCAGATGTATTCTGTAATGATTGCTATTAAAATCGTGATGGAGATTGTACTTTTGCAGTAATAGGGTAGGACTGATCATACTATGAGCGACATATTAGGATAATCTTCTTTACATATAATATATCCGCATTAGTAAATGACTTTTCCCGAGAGGTAGATATAGCACAACCACAAGAAATCTCGAGCTTTCTCTCGCTCGTGATCAATTAAAGGTCGCAGGTCGGCTGGAGAAAAGCCGAGGCTGGATCCATGTCTCCGTGGCAAATGCCCCATCCCCGCGAGCTGCCCGTGGGTGAGGCAGAGCGACAGCGCTCGGTGCCTGCAGTGCCGGGAGGAGGCTGCGGGCGCCGCTGTTGACCGAGAGGAGCGAGAGGAAGATCGGRGCGCTGCAGCCCCGCCCGCTGCGGACCGGCACGATCGTTAAATCACTGGATTTYTGGTTCGGCGGTCTGGAGGTCTTGCGATCGTTCCGGCGGCACCGAACCCAGCTGAACAAGGCAGAGGGGCCGGCGGAAGCGGCTGGAAGCGTGAGGCTCATCGGTGATCGGCGCCGGGGAGCATCCGGCGACTAAAATGTGTGCGGCAGGGAGGCGCTGGAGGAGATGGCAGCGAGCTCTGCTCTGGTGCGTTCTGCTGGCAGTGTGGGAGGCGGCGTGGGGGCAGCTGCGCTACTCGGTGCCCGAGGAGATGCCCAAGGGCTCGTTCGTGGGCGATGTGGCCAAGGATCTGGGACTGCAGCTGCCGGCGCTCAGCGACCGCGGTGTTCGCATTGTATCTGAAGATAGGACGCAGTATTTCTCTTTGCACGGGAAGACGGGACATTTAGTGACGGCGGAGAGGATCGACAGAGAGCAGCTGTGCGAGAGCGTGCAGCAATGCGTGCTGCGCTGTGAGCTGATAGTGGAGGGGGAAATGNCTTTCCTTGGTTGATAGGGTTAATCGCTATGGCTGTGATCTAGAATCAGGTCAGATTCTAGAAATGCTTAAGGCCGTAATGAAAAATCCGGAAGTAGTGGTTGGAGAAGGGGAGCGCTGCAGGCTGATTCAGAGCAGGCTCGGATGTTCAAGTGACAAATAACAAAACAGGGAAGGAAGGGCAGACCTTTTCAGTTGGGGTGTCATTGCTGCTGTGTGCCGATCCTCGGGCTCTGGCAATCCAGTGTGTCTGTAGGAAGTCAAGTCTGACACCCAGTGAGAAAAAACTAATTCAAAAACTACTGCTACAAAAACCTGTCCAGAGAAAACATTGTGCTTTCCTACTATGGGATAAGATTCATAATACCTTGCATGTAATATTAAGAGACAATTATATACTTTTTTTACCGTGCTGTAGAAATTATTTTACCGGAAGAGTCTTGCTATTTGTGTCTGGTCTCAATCACTTGGAGGATCAACACAGGAATACACTGGAGAAAAGCCGACGAGAGACGCCTCCACCGGTCACTGAAAGTGACCTCATGTCTCCAAGGATACTGCAAAGAGACGAGCCGCCCGCGGACAAGGCAGGGAGGGCAGAGCTCGGCAGCGCTCGGTGCCTGCAGTGCCGGGAGGAGGCTGCGGGCGCCGCTGTTGACCGAGAGGAGCGAGAGCAAGATCGGAGCGCTGCAGCCCCGCCCGCTGCGGACCGGCYCWCTSGCTAGATCACTGGACTCCTGGCTCGGCAAACGTTCTGTTTCAGATCGTTCCGATGGTGCGGATCTGTTCTGCAGCAAAGCGGAGGGGTAGCCGGCGGCAGCGGTGAGGAGCAGAGTGGCGGTAGACTGTGGGGAGCTGTCTGCAGTGTTTCGGTGGTGGCGGTGCCGCGGCGGAGATGAGCGCGGCGGGGAAGCGCTGGGGCCGGCGGCAGCGAGCTCTGCTCTGGGGTGTTCTGCTGGCGGTGTGGGAGGCGGTGTGGGGGCAGCTGCGCTACTCGGTGCCCGAGGAGATGCCCAAGGGCTCGTTCGTGGGCGATGTGGCCAAGGACCTGGGGTTGCAGCTGCCGGCGCTGCAAGACGGCGGCGTCCGCATTGTTTCTGAAGGTAGGACACAGTATTTCACTCTGCACGGGAAGACGGGACATTTAGTGACGGCGGAGAGGATCGACAGAGAGCAGCTGTGCGGGAGCGTGCAGCAATGCGTGCTGCGCTGTGAGCTGATAGTGGAGGGGGAAATGAAAGTTTATGGAATCCAAGTGGAAATCGTGGATGTTAACGACAACACGCCGAGCTTTCGAGAGGCACAAATTGAACTTAGAATGAGTGAGGCGACAGCCCCGGGCTCGCGGTTTCCTCTGCCAAATGCTGACGATCCGGACTCGGGCAGGAATTCCCTGCAGAGCTACGAGCTGAGCGGCGACGAGCACTTCTCGCTGGCCGTGCAGGCGGGCCCCGGCGGCGATCAGCGTCCCGAGCTGGTGCTGGCGAAGGCGCTGGACCGGGAGGAGGCGGCGTTTCACGAGCTGGCGCTGAGGGCGAGTGACGGCGGCGATCCGGCACGGACGGGCACGGCGCGGATCCGTGTGACGGTGCTGGATGCGAACGACAACGCTCCCGTGTTCAGCCAGGCGGAGTACACGGTGCGTGTGCCTGAGGACGTTCCCGTGGGCTCCGTCCTTCTCACGGTCACGGCCAGCGATGACGACGAAGGGCTCTACGGACAAGTGAAGTACTCGCTGAATAAAATCACCGAGAAAGCATCGCAGACTTTCCGGCTGGACGGCGACACCGGGGCAATCAGCCTGTTGCGGAGCCTGGACTTCGAGGATGGCGACTCTTACGAACTGGAGGTGCAGGCACATGATGGGGGAGGCCTGTTTGATACGACAAAAATCGAGATTACAGTGACAGACGTCAATGACAATGTGCCTGAGATCTCCGTGCGGTCATCAGTGAAAGAGATCTCGGAAGATGCCCCTTCCGGGACGGTGGTAGCCCTGCTACACGTGAGGGACCGGGACTCGGGAGCTAACGGCGAGGTGCACTGCTCGCTGGACGGGGACGTTCCGTTCCGGCTGGAGAAGACGTTTGAGGATTACTACCGTGTGGTGACATCGAGAGAGCTGGACCGTGAGCAGGTGTCCGAGTACAACGTGACGGTGCGGGCGGCCGATGGCGGGTCGCCGCCGCTGCAGAGCAGCGCGGTGCTGGCGCTGCGGGTGCTGGACGTGAATGACAACGCGCCGGTGTTCGCGCAGGAGCGCTACAGCGCGCGGCTGGCGGAGAACAACGCGGCGGGCGCGCTGGTGCTGACGGTGCGCGCGTCGGACGCGGACTGGGGGCAGAACGCGCGCGTGCGCTACCGGCTGTCGGAGGGGCGGGTGCGGGGCGCGCCGCTGTCGTCGTACGTGTCGGTGCAGGCGGAGACGGGCGC